CTCCAACAGGTCCATGTCCTTCTTTTGTTGGGGGCCCCAGAGCTGAACGCAGTACTCCAGGTGGGGTCTCAGCAGAGCAGAGGAGAGGGGCAGAACCACCTCCCTCGACCTGCTGGCCACACTTCTTTTGATGCAGCCCAGGATATGGCTGGCTTGCTGGGCTGCAAGCGCACATTGTCGGCTCATGTCCGACTTTTCATCCACCAGTATCCCCAAGACCTTCTCTGTAGGGCTGCTCTCAATCTCTTCATCCCCCAGCCTGTATTTGTTCTTGGGATTGCCCTGACCCAGGTGCTGGACCCTGCACTTGGCCTTGTTGAACCTCATAAGGTTCACACAGGCTTACTTCTTGAGCTTGTCCAGGTCCCTCTGGATGGCATCGCGTCCCTGAGGCGCGTCAATGGCACCACTCAGCTTGGTGTCATCTGCAAACTTGCTGAGGGTGCACTCAATCCCACTGTCCATGTTGCAGACAAAGATGTTAAACAGTGCCAGTCCCAATACCAACACCTGAGGAACGCCACTCATCAGGGGTGTCCACCTGGACATCGAGCCGTTGACTGCAAGTCTTTGAGTGCATCCATCCAGCCAATTCTTTATCCACCCAGTGGTGCATCCACCAAATCCACGTGTCTCCAATTTAGAGACAAGGATGTCATGCGGGACAGTGTCAAATGCTTTGCACAAGTCCACGTAGGTGTCCTGATCCAATGTCGGGAAACGTTTCGATACGATCCCAAGGACGAGATTAAGACGCTGAAATTGGTCAGATGTTGTACAGCCTTTTACTTTTATTTGGGGGGGGAGAGAATGGAGGGATGAGGGAGGGCAAGGGAAGAGAGGAAAAGAATAAGAGAGAGGGAGAGGGAGAGAGAGAAGAAGGAGTCTTTCGCCACCTTCCCAAGTCCGAGGATCTTCTGCTGGGTCTTCGGTGGCCTCAGGCTTCATTGGGGACCAATGGAGGGGCCCGAGGATGGAGGAAGGGAAGGAGTGGTCGCGCGCGCCCCCGCGGGGCACGTGTGCTCCTTATATAGGGGTTCTCACGCAGGCGCAGATCGCAAATGTGTACGTGCGGTTTGTCACAGACGTGCTGTCCCCATTTCTGCTCTTTTTGTGCCTTTTGTCCCTGCGCAGGCGCACAAGGTTGTTTTTCTCAAAACTGTGGAGAAGATGGTTGTTCTCGAAGCGCGATGCTGGATGGCGCTACAGTGGCAATGTCGAGACAAAACCATATTTTCTATCGGTCCTTTACAGTAGGTGACATCAGTTGCTCTTCCCTTATCCACCAATGCTGTAACCAGCTGTTGTAGAAGGCCACCAAATTTGTCAGGAACAATTTGCCCTTAGTGAAGCCATGTTGGCTGTCACTGATCACCTCCTTATTTTCCATGTTCCATAACATAGTTTCCAGGAGGATCCACTCCATGATCTTGCCAGTCCAGAGGTGAGACTGACTGGCCTGTAGCTCCCCAGGTCTTCCTTTTTTCCCTTTATAAAAATGGGGGTTATGTTTCCCCTTTTCCAGTTAGTGGGAACTTCACGGGACTGCCACGACTTCTCAAATATGATGGACAGTGACTTAGCAACTTCATCCGCCAGTTCCCTCAGGACCCATGGATACATCTCATCAGGTCCCATGGACTTGTGCACCTTCAGGTTCCTTAGATGGTCTCACGCCTGATCTTCACCTACAGTGGGCAGTTCTTCATTCTCCCCATCCTTGCCTTTGCCTTCTGCAACTTGGGCGGTGTGGCTTGAGCACTTGCTGGTGAAGACTGAGGCAAAAAACTCGTTGAGTATCTCAGCCTTCTCCATACCCCGGGTAACCACGTCTCCCGTTTCCTTCCGGAGAGGGTCCACATTTTCCCTAGTCTTCCTTTTATCACCGACATACCTATAGAAGCTTTTCTTGTTGACCTTGACATCCTTGGCCAGATTTAATTCTATCAGGGCTTTAGCTTTCCTAATCTGATCCCTGGCTGCTCGGACAATTTCTCTGTATTCCTCCCAGGCTGCCTGTCCTTGCTTCCACCCTCTGTAGGCTTCCTTTTTGTGTTTGAATTTGTCCAGGAGCTCCTTGATCATCCATGCAGGCCTCCTGGGGTTTTTGCCTGACTTCCTCTTTGCTGGGATGCATCACTCCTGAGCTTAGAGTAGGTGATCCTTGAATGTTAACCAGCTTTCTTGGGCCCCTCTTCCCTCCAGGGCTTTACCCCATGGTACTCTATGAAGCAGATCCCTCAAGAGGCCATAGTCTGCTCTCCTGAAGTCCAGGGCAGTGAGCTTGCTGTGCGCCCTCCTCACTGCCCTAAGGATCTTGAACTCCACCATTTCATGGTCACTGCAGCCAAGGTTGCCCTTGAGCTTCACATTCCCCACCAGCCCCTCCTTGTTGGTGAGAACAAGGTCCAGCATAGCACCTCTCCTCATTGGCTCCTCCATCACTTGGAGAAGAAAGTTACCATCAACGCATTCCAGGAAACTCCCGGATTGCTTATGCCCTGCTGTGTTGTCCCTCCAACAGATGTCAGGATGGTTGAAGTCCCCCATGAGGACCAGGGCTTGTGAACATGAGGCTGCTCTTATCTGTCTATAGAGGGCCTCATCTGCTCAGTCTTCCTGGTCGGGTGTCCTGTAGCAGACCTCCACTATAACCATCACCTGTCCCTGCCCTCCCTTTAATCCTGCCCCATAAGCTCTCGGTTGGCTCCTCATCCATCCTCAGGTGGAGCTCCTCATTGTCTCCCCTGCCTGTCCTTCCTAAAGAGCCTGTATCCTTCCATTCCAATACTCCAGTCATAGATGTATAGATATCATCATAGATATGAAAGATGTATCCAAGGAGAAAGGCGGACAAGAAAGGTCAAACTCAAGCCCTGAGATCATTCATCTTGGAAAGCTGTAAAGTTTTAAGCTGTTCATTATTTTAATAATTCCTGTTAAACTTACTATGTTATAACCCTTCTATAGGATATTTCAAAAAGATAAGTCTGATTTTTAGGTTCTGCCATTCTATTCCATATGTTTTTTGAGTTGTTTCTACAACAAACTCTATAGATTTAATCCTTATTAAGTTCTACTGGATTTATCCACACTCAGAAAACAAGGGAGAACAGCTACATCCTGCAGTAATAAGGAGCATAGGAGAACAATGAAGGCAAAAAAACACTGGCACTGATTTTCATATGCTGCTCTGCCTCTCTGAGATGAAATGTATACCTCACAGACTTCACCAAAAAAAGTGCCTAGTGTTTTACTATATAATGACTTATGCTGTCAAGTAAGAGATCTTTTTAATCTATGAAGTCTGATAGGAAGATTGCAAAAATGTAACACTGCATAATACACACAAAAATGCAATAAAAATGTCCAAACATTATAATATGAACACGCACACGATTATTTTCTATAAAGAAACTTCCCAACGTTACTTTGCCATGTTTTTATACAGCCTGAATGCCTTTTTAAGAAATAGTAAGCACCTTTTCAGACAGAAAGTAATTTTTTTTTAATTCAGGTTTTACCTTTCCATAGCTTCAAATCGCATTCCAGTTAATCGTTTAACTCTGTGGCTCCCAGGAAACTGCCGCCTTAGTTCCTGAAGACAAAACTAAACAAGTAAAATCAAAAATACTATTGTGAATATAATTATCTACACAGAAGCTGGAAGAAAAGAAAAAAAAAAAAAGTCCTTGGCTGATAATTCAACAACCTGAAACAGCACTTCTGAGTAAAAGCAAATACCAATTTTTGGAATAAGCAATAAAGTATATTGATAAAGAGAATATCAGAAACTAAAACTTTGTCTGTTAGAAGACTAATTCTAAGAAATATCGTCCATGCAGGTCATTAGATCATCAGACCTTCTTGGAAATAGTTATTTGTCTAGAAAATTAAACTCATCTACTAAAACAGTTCTGATACTTTTAAAACTTGAAGTCTACTTAGTTGCCTCATAACACGAGACAGTAAAAAAACAAAATAAAGAAAGAGCTTACGTGATACTTCTTTAATAAATGGATATCTCACAATGGAACAAACTATGCTAATACTATGCTCTGTGTTTATTTTTAAAATAAAACTTTGAAATCCAAAGAAAATGTTTGTCAGTGGCTTGGGTTGAGCTGCTGGCAGAAGAGGCATAGCTTCTAACTCCTGAAATCAATGAGACACCTGGGCTGGATAAAAGGAATTCATCACAGGCAGATTTCTCTGGATTAGCAAAAAAGGATGTTTGGCAGAAGGGTTGAGTCACAACTTCCCCAGAGCAAACTAACTCTCACCGTATCATGAATGTGGCTAGATAGCATTGCAAAGTTTGTAGCTGACTCATTACGGTGGGAGGCAGGACAGTCCCCAGGCTCTCAAAAAGACCAGTGGTTTGAATCACATTAAAAGCTTCACACAGAACCCTCCTTTTCCAGGCATTTATTTATACAACTCAGCTTATAAACTTGTTCTTCAGACCGAAGATTCCAGCAGAGGCCTATCTACATAATCTGTTCCATCTCACCACATCCACTGGTCAAAGGAAAAATACAGAAGCAAATCAGTAAGAATTAGTAGGTTCCCTCTCTGTTGCTGTAGATAAACAGGTTGCCAGAGCACAGCAAAGAGAAATATTCACATCTCTCCCGGATGCCAAAAAATAGAGAAGGAAGAGAGAAAGGAAACGGTAATCAAAGAAGTAATGCTTAACCTCACTAAGCACATAATATTTTCATCATGATGATCTTAGTTTCCAATGAACCAAGATCTCAACAATGCAGTTTTACATAGCAAGACTCAGGTTTAGTACAGAAACAGTTTACTGGCACTTTGAGTGATGTCTAGGTGAACTGTTGCTGCTCTGGACAAGAAATTGTCACAAAAAACTGTGTGTACTTAGCAGTACCTTACATGAGGTATGAACAAATCTGCGAACATTCTTAAGAGACAGGACAACTTTCATGAGACTCCAGAAAAGTAGTTTGACTCCAGCTTTTGTACAAACAACCTTCCAGATTTTAAAAAGAACTTTTGCAGACAATAAATTCACCCTGTGGCCCAGTGATCTGGGAATCCCAAAGGACAGGGATTTTCAGTACGAAAACATGCACTGCTTTTCTCCAATATAATTTTTAAATGTCAAAAATTTTAACATTTGCAATAATACTGAACTCCACAATCTGCAGATGGACTTTTACATCTAGAAAAATGCCATCGACAATATAAAAAAAGCTGATGAAGTAGCACTCAAGTGCCGGAGCACTACAAGACCAGAACTGTTCACATTAGATCTGACTACATGATCATTATTCAGCTGAATACAGCAGCCACAATGCCAAAATAAACTCCTGTAGATTAAGACATCAGACACAAAAAAGTGACATGAAAAGTTGTGAGACAGTCACAAACAATTTGCTGCACACTTTTGAAACAAAAGTGCACGAACAAACTACACTAGCCATATCTTCAGAATGTTCTGGACTCAGCAGCAGTGAATGCCCTCTTTTTAAATTTAACCTGTAATCCCCATAATCATTTATGTTATTGAGGACTGGTTCTGCACTATGTCAATAATCTACTTTCGAGGTTCTCTCAGAAACTCAGCAGTTATAATGGCAAATCTCATTTGTATGTGACACTGTAATTTGCAGTTCATTTGCTTTCTCATTTTTTTGATCACGTAGGTTTTTAATTTTAAAGGTCTGACAAAGGCAAAGAAATATAAACCTGGACTTCAGCATGTGAAACACTGGTAGTGCAAGTGCATGTCAACAGTAGGCGATTTCACTAAAACATGTGCATGAAAACTGGCTGACTGAAGTAGGGACATGCATTACGCACAGTCATTTTGTGCAGGACAGAGAGAACAACTAATAAAAAGAGGAAAGAAAAAGGAAAAACAAAAGTCAGATAAATGACTCTGAAAATCATCTCAGCCTCCTCATTTGGAGCAGATGAGACCTATCCCCCTAAGCAAAATGCATCACAGCTGTCAAAAGCTCCTGCTAAAAAACAGAAGTTCCAAAGCTGTTTGTCTACTTTTGGGCTACAGCTGTAGCAAAAAGCCACATATGATGTTGAGTTGTTCGAATTAACTACTTTTTTTATTATAAATCAATCAATTTAAAAAAATAAAAAGCCAGCTAAGTTTCCCTCTAAGCTTTTAACCTCCATTCTGAGCTGCATATAAAATGTTGCACTCCGTCATCTCAAGCAATATTCCTTAGAGGGCACAGAAGCTGAAATTTAAAATCCCTGCCAGGTTTAGTAAAAATAAATAGTGTTTCACAACTGATCTTTCAACACTGGCTCCCTCAACAATTTTGTGAGTGTCTTCCTAAAAAGACCCTGAAAATAAAGACCAAAACTGTTTTACATATACAACAGAAAACAGAAATATATTTATTTAAACAGTAAGTCTATTTGGTTTTGTTTAAACAGACAGCTATACTACAACAGTATTTTCTTCTGAGGAACAAAGGAAAGGGAAGTTCAGTGGGTTCACAACAAGTTCAGCGTGTTGTGCCGTATTTTCCAGTGTACTCCATTTTACCATATACCTACGGGATGCAAGATAAACTTGTCTAGTTCTGCCTACTTTCAAATTGCCCTTCTCCCAGCTACATCCTCTAGTCTGACCTCTTGTATATCACAGACCATTAAGTTTCACCCAAATGACATCACATGAAGCTCAAAGACTTTATGGGGTATTTTGCCATCTGACAGAGAACAAGGCACTAGAAGAGTAATTCCCATGAAAGACTTGGACTCCTGAAAATATCTTGCTTTTTATTCGGAATAAGCTCAAGCTTGCTGGCTTTCAGGGCACAAGACAAGCTAATGTTTTTTTTTCCCCAGCGTTTTGTGAAAGAGGGATTGAAAGATTATTAAAATTTGCCTGCAAAATACACTTTTTCAGTTGCTGCCTTTAAAGGATTAGCTAAGCTTGGTTGGGTTTGTTTGTTTGTTTCAGTGTTTTTTCATTTTTAATCTAGTGAACAGGTGTTACAGTTCTAAATAAACTCATTTTATCTAAATTGCTATTTGTCCAATTCAAATAAATTTGCATACAAATTGATTAAACCCAAATATCCAATAATAATATTTTTATCAGGAATCACTGAATAATTTGGATTGCAAGGGACCTTTGGAGGTCACCTGCTCCAAATCCCCACTCAAAACAGAGCCAGCTTCCAAGTGAGTGCAGGGCCATATCCCAATCCATTTCTGAGCATCTCCAAAGGATGTTCTACAGCTTCTCTGTGCCACTTGTCTCAAAGTGTTCACTAACCTCATTGTTAAAAACTTTTTCCTAATATCTAATTGAAATTTCCTTTGTTGCAGCTTGTCTCTTGCACTTGTCTTTTGCTCCACACCTGCAAAAATCTGTCTCCACCTTCTTTATACCTTCCCATTAGTACATATTCGAAGACAGCAATAAAATCCCTTCTCAGCTTTCTCGAGACTTAACAAACCCAGATCTCTCAGCCCTTCCTCACACATTATGCAGTCCAGCTCCTTATTCATCTTGAAGACTTGCTCCAATATGTCAATGACTTTCTTTGATGATAGCCAACATGACATATAATATGATATGCATGACAGGACATTTTACCTCAAAACATTCAAAAAAAACAATATAATTTGAGAGTTTTTCAATAAACAAACACTCTCTGTACTATCTGGCAACTTCAATATTACTCTTGACATTTAGCCCATACAAGAGTAGCTGTAAATATTTTCATGGCTATTGGAAGAGACATGATCTGTCTAAACAAAAGTTACACATTAGAGAAGGTGGGTGGAGGTGGTTTCTTCCCAGCAGTGTATTTCTCGATAGATATTCTGCAAGTCCAAGCTACAGAGTACAGAATATCCTATACAGATATCCTATCTGACCAAAGAACTATCTGAAAGAGATACCCAAGAAGAAAATTTAAGGTTTGAGGGTAAAGTCAACTTGAAAACTTACCAATGCCAAATCATCTCGACTGCAGTCCAGGGCAGCAATCATCACCTGTTCATATATTATCCAAACTGGACACAAAAGAGACATTAAATGCAGATAATTGATTTTTTTTTTAAGATAACAGGAAACACCTACAATGTAAATAAGATTAATGAATTCTGTCTGTATATTTTTCCCCTTCTACTCCCATGGATCACTACTGAAACAGGGACATTTTACAAAACTGCTGGAATTAATTAAAAACGCATTTAAGCAATTTTATTGCTTTTAGTAACAAAGTACCTTTTGACATCTTGAAAGGCAAAAAAGCTCTAATTCTCTGCTTTTCCTAACATTATAGCTGCAGTCTTCTAAACAGATCCCCACTAGGACTTGCTCTCTGATCAGACCTGGAGAACAGCCATTTGGGCTAGAAAGAAAACAAATTTCCTTTAACTGTTTCACTGCTGAAAGTCCTACAAATGTTGTGTTCTTCCTGAATTTGAACAATTTCTCTAAATCAGTAACAGATTACATTATTTCTGTTCTAGGCCTACCAAGGTCTTGAATGTAAAGAACTTAACAGTGCAGTTACTAAGGTGCAGAAAAGAAAGGTTATAGTAGAGGAAAACATGTAACGCGAGTATTAGAAGTACTGAGTGCTTTGAACTCATGTAAATCCAATCAGGTGCACCCCATATTTCATAGAACTGAAACAGAAGCAAATGTCTTCCAAAGCAAAAATATAAAATAAAAATAAAATATAAAATAAAAAAAGCAAAGGCCCTCTCATTTTTAAAAATATTTTCTATGATATGAATTTCCAATATTTTTTAAAGAAATTAGTACTTCTTGCTAAGTATACAAAAGAAGAGAAACAGGTATTAATTTGCCTGTAACCCCTCTTCCCCACTGGAACTACTTATAAGACATATATTCTATTTTTATTAGATACTGTATACATACTTTCCATGAATGTAAAAATACACACATAGATACAGATAAAACATAGATAACATATATCCCTTCTATAAATTAAATATTACGTTTTTTAAAAGAATTTTAAACACGGGAATAAGATACTTCTATGGTTTATGACATTGCTGTCCCCATTCGATCAAACCTCTACTTTGATACTCTAACTCTAGCACAGGTAGTGTCAGATATTACATAAGAGAACCCTTGTAAGAGAATCGTGTATCCAGCCCAGAGGGATGTGTTTTTCTAATCTGTACTAGGGCTTTCTTGTTCAAGCTTAAAAACAAACAAACAAACAAACAAACAAACAAACAAAACCACCAAAGGCCTTATTCCTCTACTTTGAAGTCCATCTCTATAGCTTTAGGCTACTGATTGTCCCTCAGAAAATCCCAACTTTTTATTAAAATTATGATATGGATAATAGTATCCTCACCCCTTAGACTGAATATTCAGTAAGTTCTTTTAATTTTAAAAACACTAATAAGAAAATCTGTTTTTTCCCCCCAATTACACTGGATGTCTTCTGCCTGAGGAGGCAAGTTACAGAGATATCCAAATAATCTACCCCATTGCATTTATTTTTCTCCCTTCTATATGCATCCTGAAATTAGCCATGGTAATATCCAGGTATCTTCTGAAAACACATGAAGCAACAAGGCTAACATCTGTCATATATAACTCATCCACCTTCCGTGGCTACCCAAGAAAGAATTCTAGGTCTACTACATGTGTTTGGGGTTTTTTTTGGTGGTTGTTTTTTGTTTCTTTGTTCTTAAAACTGTATACAGTTGCCATTCTGATACTACTTTTTTAAAAAAAATAATTAAACAAAATGCAAATACATAAATAAATTTCAGATACTTTTATGCATTTGCTAAGAACCTCTGGAACATTGCAGCTGATTTACCTCATGAATCCTGAATGCCAAGTTTATGAAAGAATAAAATACATGTATCTTGAAAAGAAGGACAAACTCAACACTGACAAGAAAGGAATGACTCAGCCTATATTACTGAGAACAATGTTTCAGAAAGCCATCGGTAAGATCTGAGAGGAGTATCAAGCTCCTCAACAATTTCTTACCAAAATATAGTTCTCATAAATGACTAGCAACATGGTAAGAAGTAGTAAAATCAAGGTTAGTTCTCAAAGTTCTGCTAAAGCAGAGGGAACCTACGGCAACTCTTTTGCAGGTGGGTGTATTAAGCTTACCCATGCAGTCTAAAAACAAGCATGTTCCTCACAGTTACAGTGCAAGACCTTCTTCGGGCACTGAATCTCCAAATGCACTTCATGACTCACTGCTATGCACAGAGGTGTCTTCAACACGTGATACTTTGGGTAGATTATCCATGTATTTATACCCAAAGAAGTACAACATTTGCAGTGGCCAAGCTCCTTACAATGGAAAGAACTCCAGAACAGAATTAGAGCTTGGAGGGTGCAAGACGGAACCAGAGCAATGCATCGATATAAAACAAATCCTATCTGCACAACCCTAAACACAATACGGAAAGATTCCTCACCTGACAAGAAAGGGAGGCAAAGTGTCTTTCTGAAATGACTATGTGGATTTTAATTCATGAAACACTGTACGAGGTTAGGTATTTGAAATTAAAATTGCCTTACTAAACTAACTGAACAAGTTAACTAACTGAACAAAGTTAATCATACGGAATACTGTAACTTTTATTAAATACAATGCACTACAGAGGCTGCTAAAATCCACTTGTGACTATAAAACAGCAGTGAGTAAAATAAAGAACTACAAGAGAAGTGTATTAAAGAATGTCTAAATTAAATTACCTGAATTATAAAAAAGGGAAAAAGAAGAAAGAATGAGCATTAAAATCAAAACCTGTGTGAGATTAATATGCAAACCTATAAATTCTTGATAGCATTTTGTTATACTTTGTTTTATTTTATACTTAAAGAGTGCTATTGTATTGTGACATGTTTCTAAACAATTTTCTTTTAGTATGAAACATTGTATCCAAGCTTCTGTCTACTGAAATTAGTATAAGGTAGTTAAAATCCCCTGAAAATAATAATTTCATGAATAGTGGAAACTTAGACTTACATTCAACTATAATAGCACAAATGGAATGCCATAATAAAAACAGCCTTAATATTAATTCCTGAAGTATGTATGACTTGATTAAGGAACAGCATTCTCTGTTATAAAAAGATACTTTTCAATTTTTGCTGCCTTGTCGAAGAACAGAAAATCAGTCAAATGACAGCCAGATAACAGTGTCACGGTAAGTTTTCACATAATGGTCTAACCACCAATCTAGCAAACTAACAGTTCTAGTAGGTAATTTTTCCATCTCTTTTCACTGCAGCCCATATTTGGGAAAGAAATAAAATCTACTAATTCTGGCAACCTATTAAGACTACGAAAGTAATATATATTTCATCAACATCAGCAGATACAGAAAGGCAACACAGAAGTACAAAATAGAGGCTGAAAAGAGAAAATAAAAATCAGATAATGGAAATTTTAAAAATAATTATTGTTTACTTACTGTCATCTCCAAGTTTAGATGCATATTCATTAATTAACTCTTCTCCAACATCCACTATCTGTTCACTGTTTCGGTAGTTTTCTTCCCTCCATTTCCTCATTTTATCACGCATATCTGAGAGCAAAGGGGAGAAAAAAAATAAAAAGAAAATATTGAGATTTCCGGATAGTAATGGAATTTGAATTTTATTTCTGGAAAATATACATATGAAGAATGGGTTTAGAGAGCAATAGATCTAAAAAAGTGACTTCTACTAAACTACTTCTACCAGAAAACTACTAGAGAACAGGTAGGTGTATCAGACCTCTGAAACCATGCTCATGCTCTAATATAATTGATTCAACTTCTAAATTTGCAGTCTCTCAGGTTAGTACCATATGCAGTAAAAAACCCTTATACCTAGTTATCCTATAAATAATAAAATTTAATGGACATTACCCACGGTTAGGAAAAATAGGCTACAAGAGATTTCTTCTAAGTAGTTTCACACATTTATAAACAGTATCAAAATTGCATTTTTGCTCCAGGTGAATAAATTTTCACTTAAAGTATTAGAAAAACTGTGAGAACTCAATCACTGCTCACGTTTATCAGTGTAAGATAAATGATGTGAAGTTGCATTCTAAAAAGAATCTACTCGCTCCTATGGAAAGGAGCCTCAAGAAAAGCAGACATGGAAGTGAAGGCTTTTTACACCAGGGAAGTGCCCAAAAGTATAAAAATTATCACTGTTTATCTAGGTAAGACAGAAAAGATGGTTTATTTTAGCACTAGGATTTTTGTTTCAAGAGTACATTTACTACGACTCAGATCTCCAAGACAGCAGGCATACTCATGAAGTCAGCTAGAGAGCACTACCTAGCCTAGGTTTTATTTATCCTCTGGATGAGGAAATTGCTAAGAATGTGATTTTATATACACATATACATTTATATACGTGTGGATGTTCCATATACAAGAACAAATTCTGAGGAAACTTAACAGAAAATAGTTTTCATTAATAGACAGTGGCTTTACTAATAGGAAGATACCAGGACAACAGCTGCCAATATTTTTTAAATTTACAACAGCAGGAAAAACAAATGCAAGGATAGATCTAAACACTGTCAGTTTTTCTTGCACTTCAAATGCATAGTTAACATAACTGACAGTAAAAATTAAGCGCTGAACTTTCTTCCATCTACCTGAAGTGATCTCGGATTGCTCATAAGACTGCTATTGTGCTACATTTTGTATTTTGAAATTCAACCAAAACCACCACAGGGTTATGTTTCATATGCACGGGTAAAGCTAAATGGTTCTAGACACATGATGGTCCCTGGAAATTCAAGGTTAGACAGCAAGAAATGTGAGAGAACACAAACATTCAAAAAAGCTGACAAGCTAAACCCATAAAAATAAATAAACTGTCTGATTTCTACCTACTCATTTACTTGGAAATTATCAATGCCTCCATTCCAGTGTGATTCCAAATGGAATAGTGTCTGAATTATGTATAACAGAACACACATCTACCATTCATCACCCAAGTACAGCATTTAGAACGATGGAAAAAAACTGCAGGACAGAGAAGAGTACATCAGCTGATGACCGAAAAACAAAGTAAAAATAAGTGTTCTCATTCATGTGAATCTATCGAGAGGCTCATTAGTTTTAGCAATACTGAATTTTAAGTAAATATAGAAGAAAAAAAATGATAAAAACTGCAGTAAAATTTACACAAGGCTTTTTACAATGATGTTGTCAAACTTAACGAATTTTTTACTACGAAAGCTATCAAGAGAGTCAGCCAATAATAATTTAAGTCTTGGAGGCAAATCTACATACAGCATGTAATACAAGGTTGGGCAGTAGCAATCAGGGATTTTAGAAAAAAAAAAAAATTGTTAAAGAAATGTCTAGTTTCAATTACAATTACTCCTGTTATGTATATAGGCTGGTCCAGAGCAATTGATACATTTGTTTTAGTCTTAGGTTCTCTTAAATTAGCAAGCTTTGCACATATAAATCAAAACATTACAAGTTCAAAGGAACAGATGCACTTGCCACAATGTTTGTTGTTCCCTAAAAACATGCAAGCAGTCTGTAGGAAGCCAAAAGAAATAACCTGTGTTTTATTTTTGTGTCTGTTAAGGCATCAGTTAATTTGGCCTGAGCAACCAGTTATGAAGTAATCCTCTTATAATTACTTATACTTCGATAGTTCAGTTGGATCATAGTTTTCAAGTCCTTGATATCTAAAAGCACCTGACGAAATGAAGGAAGTTACCCGTATTAGTAGACATACACTGCATACTCCAAAACGTTACCTTAACATATAACAACCGCTACCACCAGCAGTCACCCAGGGACCCCATAACCATTACATTTCTAGAGCTCATTTGTATATTGTTCTTCTGTTACAGACACCAAATCTTCCACCACACCTCAGCTCCACCCGTCCTCATCTTACAAAATATGAATCAAACCAAAAACCCACAAATCCACCAGTTCAAGGAATTTTGTCACCTAAAGTGGACTCTAACGACTAGAGACACTACAGATAGAAGTGTTCACTTTTAAAATTAATTTGGGATTTTCTTTGTTATATATGATGTTCCCCAATACATACATTTGCAAGAAAATGGCCCCACATATACAGACTGTTAAATTTCATCTTATAAAGCATTTTATATTTTCAAAAATTATAAAGGACTCCCTGAAAAAAGTCTCACATGAACATGTAACAAAAACTCGTAGTATGCCACTACTTAAGCAGTGCAATTTTTAATATAGAAAACAGCAGTACTAATTTAATGATCCAGAAAACTTCAGTAATTTAAGCAACAGTCATCATGAGCTATTAAAAATCTTCCAAAATATTCTTTTCACTTGTTTTCAATTTATATTAGAAGAAATCTAGTTTAGAGAATATGCCATCCCTTTCTCTTTTTGCTTTTGATATCCAGTGAAGAAGAATTATTGACTGGAACAAGAATTGCCATGACAGCATTCAAAGACCTCCAGATAGCCAAAAATCACTGCTTCATTTTAGCTGGGTTTGAGATGTTGACGCCACTATGCTTCTGTACAAGGTAGAGAAAGAAAAGAAAACCTGGTTTATTTTGTTCAATTCTGACAATATATCAGATGAGTTTTCTGTGAAAGCCAATTGTCATTTTATTAGTTCTTGACTATCATGACTGCTTCTTATTTGTAGATCACACTAACTCTGCACATGCAAGCAAACTTGTGTGCTACAAAACCAGTTCCTAAAATGAAGTTATACAGGTGTATTTTTCTTTTTTTTTTTCTTAAATATTTCCACTCACTGGCCAAATTAATCTTTGATGTACCACTGAAACCATGTTAAATGTTTACGAACAGTCCCTGTAAAGTTCTGCATGGCTTAAGAGGCTGCTGCTGTAAGAGGCTCCACATCACCAGTTACAACTGACGTGCTGAACTACATCATGCTTCTTTGCCAGACTTGCAATTCTTGGCTCCCTGTCACTCCAAGTAGTTTCTAATTCTTGTAAATATGAAGGAAGCAGGAAACAGAATGTCATTTTCTACAGGATAACTAGCAACAGTGTCAAAAAAGGGAGCAACATATCACCTTAGTCTCAAATAAGTAAGCCGTAAAATATATGAGGCATATCCACATATAAGCATTTCTTTTAATACAATAGCACCCTGAAGCCACGTTTTGATCATCAAAGTCCACTGAACAAGATCCTGAAGATAAATGAGAGGTTTTCCTGCTCCACAGGTTTAAAAATACACTATAAAGCTCAAGACACAGCTGCAGACAAAGTAAAGAAAGAAAGAAAAAATAAAGACATCATCTCCAGCAGTGGAAATAAGAATTATTGTCAGTTATCTTTCCTAATCACCTGGGCAATGCATTTACCTAACATACAATTTAATCATTGTTAAACTCCCACCTTTGTCCCAAAGAACCTGAGCGAAAAGCAAAGCAGGCTACAAACTGTATTTCATCTGCCTCATGTTATTCTTCTTCCCTAACCTCCAATCACAGTTTCAGCTTTGAGCAAGATGTACGTAAAGAGCATCTTGTTTAGAAAGGACCGAGTACATAAAGGACATTTTTCAGATTAATACCAACCATACACCTGGTTTCACAGAAATTAAGCGTTTTAGACAAACTCAAGATGAGCTACATTCAATTCCCAGACCTGTGTCCAAGTTCTTTGTTAGGGACTGTCCTGGTTTCAGCTGGGATAGAGTTAATTTTCGTCTTGGTAGCCGGCATGGGGCTGTGTTTTGGGTTTAGGATGAGAACAATGTCGATGATACACTGATGCTTTCGTTCTTGCTAAGTAGTGCTTAGTGTTGTGTCCTGGTTTCAGCTGGGATAGAGTTAATTTTCTTCTTAGGAGCTGGTAGAGTGCTGTGTTTTGGATTTAGTATGAGAATAATGTTGATAACACACTGATGTTTTAGTTGTTGCTAAGTAGTGCTTACACCAGTCAAGGACTTTTCAGCTTCCCATGCTCTGCGTGGCGCACAAGAAGCTGGGAGGGGGCACAGCCAGGACAGCTGGCCCAGACTGGCCAGAGGGCTATTCCATACCGTATGACGTCATGCTCAGTATATAACTGGGGCGAGTTGGCCGGGGGGGAAGGGATTGCTGCTCGGGAACAGGCTGGGCATCAGTCAGGGGGTGGTGAGCAATTGTGTCGTGTATCACTTGCATCGTACATTATTATTGTATTATATCATTATTATTATTATTATTATTACTACTACTACTACTATCATTCTATTTGATTTTACTTCAATTATTAAACTGTTCTTATCTCAACCCAGGAGTTGTCTGACTTTCACCCTTCCAATTCTCTCCCCCACCCCACTGGGGGGGAGTGAGTGAGCGGCTGTGTGGTTCATAGTTGCTGGCTGGGGTTAAACCACAACATGTTGCTAAATAGGTGCTAAGTGGTGCTCATATTGGTCAAGGATTTTTCAGCTTCCCATGCTCTGCTGGGTGCACAAGAAGCTGGGAGGGAGCACAGCCAGGGGGCTGACCCAGACTGGCCAAAGGGTTATTCCATACCATACGACGTAATGCTCAGTATATAAGCTGTGGGAAGAAGAAGGAAGGAGGGGGAC